TCCCTGGACAGCACAGAACATTCCATCATTACAGAAAGTTCTATTGGATAAAGATTAGATCCTCAACTTTCCATTAACTTTTTTCAAAAGGACCAGTAGAAAGAGCAAATCACAGACCTAAGCTTTCCAAATCAGTCACTAGCTAGCTGAGCAACCACATGCATCACTTAGCAGTGCTTTTCCAACTGAATGGATATTTATATCACCTGAGAATCTTGTTAAAATGGATATTCTAACTCAGTATGTCTGAGATAAAATCTAGACTCTATACCTCTAACAAGTACTCAAGTAATGTTAATACCATTGATCTAGGAACCACACTTTCAATTTCAGTATCTTAGATCACTTTGGGCCTTAGTTTCCTAAACTGTCAAATGATGTATGTGAAGCAAAATAATGTCAGTGACTCCTCTCAGTCATGGACATTATTTTGCCTTGTGAAGTGTCAGAGCACTAACCAAGATAACTGACCATAATCAGCACACTACATGTGAGCTAATGTAACAGCCCACAAAACAGGCTGAAGGAGCTGACAGAGGGCACTAACATTTTACACTTTATGGTGGTACAGAATTAAAGACATATAGATTTCCACACTTTGCAAAGATGTACCTGAAGTAAATGTTAGGATCCTAACAAACAAATTTTTTTCACATTTTTGTGATACCATTTTTTCCATTCAAAAGTAAAAATAAAAATACTGAGTTTAAGTGAAAATCAATGGGAAAATGTGATTTGCTATATCTCCTTAAAACTTTATTATGTTTTTGGTGGTACTGGGGTTTGAACTCAGGGTCATGTGCTTGCTAGGCAGGTGCTCTACCACTTGAGCCAGCCCCAGCCCTTCTCTGTAAAACTTCTTAAAAATGGACTTAAAAGGGATGCCTCCTTTACAAACTGAACCTTTAAAAAACAACAACAACAAACCCTCTATCAGAAGGACACACTATATATTTTCCAAATATGCAATTCATGGAAGGGGAAAAAGAAACAATGCTAGACTCAGCCCATATCACTGTGACTTCAAAAGCATCTGCTCCATACAAAAGCAGCTCCATGGAAGCAGCTGTTAACTGCAGTACTGTTTCTGCTGTTTTGTATTTTTAATGTGTCAGGGCACTCAGCAATAAAATTGACCAAAATCACCACTACAGGTTGGCTGTAGTGTAACCTAACAGCCCACCAGGAAGGCTGAAGAAACTAATGGGAGGGCAGCACAATGCTGCACAGAACTGACTGTAGAGGCATGTTTCTATTTTAGCAAAGGCTGCTTGCTGGCAATGTCAACAAGGAACTGGATAGCAATTGTGAGATAGCTCACCCTCTTATAAAGCAGGATCTTTGAGAAAGAAGACAGGTTAAGCTATCCGATTGGCTTTTAAGTTCTGAATTATGCACGACAGTTAATTACCTATATTTAAAAAAAAAAGTCTGGCACCAGTGGCTCACACTTGTAATCCTAGCTCCTGGGGAGGCAGAGATCAGGAAGATTGAGGTTCGAAGTGAACCTAGGCAAATAGCTCATGAGATTCTATCTTGAAAATACCCAACACAAAAAAGAACTGGCAGAGAGACTCAGTGGTAGAATGCCTGCTTAACTAGTGTGGGGCCCTGAGTTCAAACCCCAGTACCACCAAAAGAAAAACAAAAAAAACCTCCATTAGAAATACATGTTCAGCTGCGCACTGCAGGTGCCAGTGCAGGTAAACAGTTTAGGAGACCTATCTCAAAAAAACCCATCAAAAAAAGGGCTGGTGGAGTGCCTCAAGATGTAGGCCCTGAGTTCAATCTCCGCTGCTTCAAAATAAATAAATGCATACATATATGTTTAACTTCTAAAATGTGATGCTTGAAAATCTTCAGTCCTTTTATATTTCCTTTAGGAAATTTTTTTTAGTCTTAAGTTAAACCTTATTAAAATTCTTTTAATGTAAAAAAGTATGCAACAGAATTTCAAAATGCCTCCAAAGATATAGCGCACATTAAGAATACACACTACTGCCCACAAAACTTCTCAAATAAATCACTTTGAGAGAACAAACAGTATACACAGAAAAATTAAGAGGGTAGAGAGGTGGTTTTTTTTCCTTCTCATTTTCATTCTCAATCTTTTCTTTTTTTTTCCCCTCAATCTTGTTTTAAGTCAATTGTTTAAATGTTGGCTGTTTTAAGATCAAAGTATCTGTCTTATTACCAAGTTTAGTTCTAAATTTAGAATTGTACATTCAGCTTACATTTAAAAACACTGATTAAAAGCAGTACCCATACAATACCTACACTTCAACTAGTCTTTATTAAAAAGAAAATTCACATAGCTCATAAGAAAGTACTATGTACAATCATGTTTTCCACCATAGTGAAATGCTCAGGTTCAGAGCTATATCTGGTTAAATATTTAACTCTGTTGGCAAAGATTTTACAACTTTAAGCCAATAATTTCTAGATATTACAGATAACTTCTATGCAATCAATGAATAACATAAGGCCAATTTCTATCAACATGATATAGTACTGTCTGTCTTTTACAAATAACCTGTAACAAATCTTTGTTATTAGTAGCCAAAGAACTGTTAGTGCCAAACAATTTCAGCAACTGACCAGCAACTGACTTTACCCTTTTCTCTTAACAAATGTTGCACAATTTCACCTGCAAGGTATGTAGTATCCTTTTCAAATGCAACTTAAGAAGCCATTACTTTGTTAGAGAAACTGTTGTTCCTTTTCAGAGGAGAGAATTATAATATGGACAAAAACATTTTAGCCTATCATTAAAAAAAAAAAAGCTGTATAAAAAAAAAGCGAGCCACGTAGCAGTCGTGGGCAGGATGAGTCATCCTCAACTCAACTTGCAGCAGCACTCCCAAGCTTCCTCCTACCCGACCCCATCCCCTTCAAAACCTACCCTGAGTCAGCAAACTTTAGGGTTTGTCAGGGGTGGTTCTCACGAAGCTACCTACAGGAACTTATGTAAAAGCTACAAAGCTTTCCTGCTAACACTGGTCATTAGAATATGAGCTTTTTCCATTGTAAAATTAACTGCTCTTCAAATCCGGCTTCTCTACATTCTTTTTCAATCACAGAAAGTGGGCAGGTTACTTTAAATCGTGCTCTGCAAAGAACTCAAATCCAAAAGATCTTCACCATCTACAGTTTTGTTGTTGTTGTTTTAACAATTCTCAGTCCGGTGCCGGTGGCTTGCGCGTCTGTAATCCTAGCTACTCTGGAGGCAGAGATCAGGGCGATCGCGGTTCAAAGCCAACCCGAGCAAATAGTTCCGCGAGACCCTATCTTGAAAAAATCCTTCACAAAAAAGGGATGGTGGAGTGGCTCAAGGTGTAAGCCCTGAGTTCAACCCCAGCACCGGGGGGAAAAAAGAACTCTTTTTCCAGGGTTTTTTATTTTTCTTTTCTTTTTTCTGAACAGTAACATATAGGGGATAAAATACATCCTGTTCAATCAAATCTGGTTTACTTCCTATACGGCTGCAACTATTGGATCTATCAAGGTACCAATAAGCAATTTTACAAGTTTGACAAGGTCATCATTATATTAACTGATGTAACATACACGTGAAAGGACTTCATACTCCCTAGCACATGGGAAACCCCTCATAAACGTGTCTAACTACTGGCTAACGACAGTACTTTTCAAATACTAAAATGTGACATTTCTAAGAAGTAACTCTAAAGTCAGTTCTCTTTCAGGGCCAGGTTCTATTTAGACCCTACATTCTTCCAGTCAGATCATTCTGTCCAGCGTTTAAAAAAGACAGGATCCGAATTTTAAAGAAAATAAACAGGCTAGAATAAAAGTACTCTGCAGCTTTCTGCTCTTCATTTGATCATGCTTTCCCTCTGACGAATCATCTAGATCCATAAAAAAGTTAACACTGAATCTGACTTACGGGCATTTTTAGCAATGAACAAAAGTCTGCCGTTAACAACAGCAGTCTTCTAATTCCACCTTACCAGTTCCTTTCACTGGATCTTTTCTAATGAGCAAGCCAGGGAAAAAACACAACAGGGAAGGAATGAAGCAGCTCTTGCTACATGCACAAAGGTCCTCATGCACCTGAACCAGCGGTCCCAGCACGAGCTGGGGAACAAAAGGCGGCCACGACACTTCTACTTTTCAACACAACTCACAAGTCGGATTCCGAGGCACAGCAAAGTCAGGAGGCCATTCTGAGCAAAGTGACAACGATCGCCCACACTGGGTGCTTTTTTGTAAGCCACCCCCTTAGCGTCCGGGAAGCAGCCAAGGCCAGGCTGCAGGGGGCGCGGGGGAGGCGGGGGGCGTCGGGAACTCCGTCTCGGACACGGGTCCAGTACCTCACGTGTGGTCACACTCAAAACTTGGGCGGACTTCGGGGCTCCGGGACGCGCCGGGTGCGCGCTGCGCGCTCCGCAATTCGCGAGTCCGGCGGAGACTTTGCCCGGCCAGACCGAGTCAGCTGAGGCCGAGTCACCGGGGCGGGATGGGAGGAGACGCGGGAGCGTTCTGCAGGCAGCGAGCCAGCCGGCGAAACTCCGCGCCCCCTCGCGCTCCAGGGCCGCCGCCCTCGCTCGTCCCGCAAGCCTGCCCGCCCGCCTATCCGGAGGGGCTTCGAACCCGCGGAGCCCGGCGCGAGCTGACGGACGGCGGGGCAGCCGGCGAGCAGGCCCCCAGGCACGCGGCGCGGCGCGGCCCGGCGAGGGGCGTGCCGGGTGGGAGGGGCGCGCCGGCCGTGCCGCCAGCCCCACGCGGGGGACCCCGGCCCGCCACGGCCGCCGGCCCGAGCCGGCCAGGCCCCAGCGAGCGAGCGAGCGGGCGGACGGGCGGACCGGGGGCGGGCGGGAGACGGAACAAAAGCGCCTTTGTTGAGCGGCGGCCGCCGGAGGGTCACACACAATGGAGGAGGGAGCCGGCTCCTCCACCGCCGCCGGGCCCGCCGCGGCGCCCTCCCGAGCCGCCCCGCGGCGCGCCCCGCACACGTTACACACACACACACACACACTCACGGGACTTCTCCGACTCATCGAGGGAGTGCGGGGCCCGCGGATAGCCCCCAGGGTCGGCTCTGGTCTCCGGCTGTGCTGGCGGCAGCGGCGTCTCCGAGGCTCTCGCTTTGCCGCAGTCGCCGCCATGTAACCCCGACCCGCGAGAGAGGGCGAGGAGAGGGGGCGGGGTCTCGGGGGTGGCACGCCCCCTTACGTCACAGGCTCACTCCACGGGTTCCCCCGCCCCCGCCCGGCCCAGCGCGCTTGCACGCGCCGGAATTTCCAACGCCCGTGACTGGGCTGGGCGCGCTGCAGGGGCGGTGGGAGCTGCACGCGGGCTCATGGGCTGCCTCGCGTGGGCTGTGCCTGCAGGCCGGCGGGGAGGAGGACGGAGGAGGCCCTCTGCTCAGTTACCTGCCCCTCCATGCTCCGGATTCCAGCTACCCCGGAGGCGACTTGCAGGCCAGCCCAGGCAAAGTTGGCGAGACCCAAGCTCAAAAAGAAAATACTACCGCTAGGGGAGGTCCGCGCGGGTGGCCTTTCCTCTGGTTCCCGAAGGAGCCAACCTAAGCAGAGGAGGCGAGGGAGAGGAGAGGACGCAAAGACTGGCAGGCTAGGGAGTAGCTGGATTGTTGAAGGATCAGGCCCAGGCCGGTTTGAGTTTGGAAGGGATGTACCGTGGGATGCGGCGGGAAAGGGATTGGTGGTTCCTTGGGCCCACGTCTTGAGTAAAGGCATATTTTACCCCTCGTGGCTTACTGAGGCCTGTGAAAAGTAAGTGAGTATTTATGAAACTAGAGCTAAGGTCGGCATATATTTTCAGTGATAGTACTGTCTTGAAGAGGACCAGACATACATAGAGTAGTCTGGTATCCATTATGTGCATCTTCAAGAGTGAAGCAAACACCTCGACAAAGGTCGCCATAATGACTTGAAGTTAAGTGATTGGGATGAAGTTACGTGTGTGTGTGTGTGTGTGTGTGTGTGTGTAACAGTTTCACTCTGTAGCCCAAGCTGGCCTCAGACTCCAGAGTGCTGGGATGACAGGCATATACCATCACACCCGTATATTTTTTATATTTAAAATAACACCGTCTGAGTACCAGGTGTGAAGAGGAGGGGATGAGTTAATAACTCCAAGAGAAAGACTTGTTAAACAGCAAGAACTCTGATTTGTGGATGCCACACTCTGCAGCCAACTTCCTACCTAAGACCAGTGTCCAGCTCTACTGCCCTTTCTCTGGGCTCCTCCAGCTCCCCAAGACATCTTTCTTCCTGCTGTGCAGGAACTCTTTCACCTCCCCCTTCTGTCAATATTTGATCTAAGGGCAGAGCAATAAATACCAAGCACTATGACTTCCCTCAGAAGTTTATAATATAGTATCACCACTGCCTTCAGTAAAGACCATCAAAATAACCTATTGGTAATGCAAAGCCAAGCTTATAGCAGTTAGAGAGACCAAGAATTAACAGTCATTGTAGCATTACAAAAGAGATCAGAGTAGGGTAATTAAAAGATTTGGAGGATCTGGTTTAAGACAGCTTTTTCAGCTGGACATGGTAATGCAGGTCTATAATCCCAGCATTCAGGAGGCAGAGGCTGGAAGAGCAAAAGTTCAGGGTCAGCCTGGCCTACATAGTGACACCCTGTCTCTAAAAACAAAAAACATTAAAGAGCTTTCAATGAGGGGACCTGATTGAGATGGGGCTACTAAGTGATACATTAGTGGGTAGACAGGAGAGGAGAATTTTGAAGCAAACCTGGAAGAGTTACTGGTAAAGCCCAGTAACCTTGGGGGGAAAAGGAGGGTTGTGTGCCCAGATGAGTTCAGTAATGTACTCTTCCTATAAGTGGATTGAGGAAGTTTCTGAAACTGCAATAAAATATTTGCAACTTCATCTTCTTGGGCAAGAATTTCTTGGAATTAAAGTCACGTTTGGGCTGGCAGAGGCCTGCCTAGCAAGTGTGAGGCCCCGACTTTAAACTTCAGTACCGCCAAAAGAAAAGCAAATTTATGTAGACAGTTGAATTACAAAGTCATGTTAATATAGTTGGTCTTAGTTCTTAATCCTTTTGTGTGAGTGTAAATAGTTCATTTCTCAATAGGTTTGGTTTTGGTTTTTCAGTTTTTGTTTTTTGCAGTACTCAGGACCTTTACCTTGAGCCACTCTGCCAGCCCTTTTTGTGATACGTATTTTCAAGATAGGGTCTCTCGAACCATTTGCCCTGGCTGGCTTCAAAAAAAACCATGATCCTTCTGATCTCTGCCCCCTGAGTAGCTAGGATTACAGGCATGAGCCACTAGCGCTGAGCAATTTTTTTTTAAGACAGGGTCTCACTATCTAGCCCAGGCTGGCCTCAAAGTCAAGGTCTCAGTGCTGAGAACTGTAGGAGAGGAATTTAGATAATTTAGGTGATGATGTGCACCACTACACCTAGCTGTTCTCAACAGTTTAAGATCTGTTAGTGAGAAGTGAAATCATTTTAGCAATTTGTCTTAATGAAATAAGAGCAAAAAACTGAATAAAAAAGCATCACCCATAATAAAAAAGGTAAACATTGTTTCATGAAACTTTTCATTATGCACCACATTTCAACAAATCAAAAATGCCACACTTGTAATCCTAATGCTTGGCTCACACCTGTAATCCAAGCTACTTAGGCAGTAGATGACTGAAGGATAGATGTTCCAGACCAGCCTGGGCAAAAGAATTCACTAGACCCCATCTCAACCAATGAAAGCTGGGCATGTGGCGTGTACATGTCATCCCAATACACAGGAAGCATAAATAAAATTGTGCAGGCTGGGCATATATTCAAGACCCTATTGGAAAAATACCTAAAGCAAAAAGGTCTGGGGGCATGACTCAAGTAGTAGAGCACCTGCTTAGCAACCAAGTGCAAGGCCCTGAATTCAAACCCCTAATACCCAAAAAAAAAAAAAAGTGCTATCAATTATGAAACATGCCATTATTTTATGTACTGTTAAAGGGAAAACTCTTATCAAAATGTATTGCCTTGAGAGTGGGATGAGGGGGAGAGCAAGGTAATTCTTTCTGACTAAATCGTGTCCCTAGAGATTCTGAGGTTGCATAAAACAAATTTTTCTTGTAGTAACTTTTATTATTTTGTGACAACAGTGATTTGATTTTATGACATAAATACTCAAGTAGTAAAAACAAAACAAAAAATGTGTTGCCTCATTGTTGCATTCTGATTTCAGAGATATTAAAATGAAGGAAGAACTTCTCATTGAAATATAAGCTTAAAATATAAGGTATATATAGCTGTCTATTTGGGTCAGAATGTAAAATGTATTTCTATGATTGTATATTATTGCTAGGAGTGAGTTATTGATAAAAGTATGAAAGCAGCTGTTGTAAGAAGGAAGGTAGGAGAGGAAAGGTAAGTATACCAGAGGCAGCATGAGCTGAGTGCTTCCTGTGCAGAGAGGAAAACTACCCTTCCTATTGGATTGTAGGAGAGCAATTTAGATGAGGTCACGTGTGTGTGTGTGTGTGTGTGTGTGTATGTTTGCTGGGAAAGGAACACAGGGCCTCATGCATACTAAGCAAGCTCTACCACTCAACTACCTATCCAGCCTGCAGCTAGTGTTTTGGAATGATACTTCTGACATTCTTGGGGAGGGTAGATTGTATAAGCAGAAGATTGGCGGCCCCAAGATGGTGGGAGAACCCATTGTTTTCCGTGCTGTGCATTCACTTTATCTTGTTGTCCTTATTCTGCTAACAATACTCAGTGTCCTTTACAGTGACACCAAATTCTGGTTTAAGCATGAGAGTTAGATAGGGAGGAAGGGAGAGAGGAAGAGAGAATTTACTTAAATGGTAGATGGTTGCTGCATCTCCAATGGTAGAGAAAAGTAGAGGTCAATTGTGTGTTTGTGACTATGTGTGTGTGTGAGAGAAAGTGTGTGTGTGTATATGTGTGTGATGCTGGGGTCCTCATGAATGCTAGGCAAGCCTTATACCATTGAGTCAAATCCCTGGCCCAGATGGCCTTGGATGAATGGGGAGCATCTTGAGTCATCCAGTTGCTCTCCCTTCACCTCTTGGAGTTTAAATTCCCTCTTTAGGCTGCTTGTTTCATCTTTTTCCAATTAGATTACACAATGAGGATTCACAGTCAAATACTGAGATTTTCAAAATGGAGGGAAACAGATTTTAGGAACATTGACTACTAAGTTTCTATCCCTGGAAATGTTCTAATATAAATCACTGTACATAGTGTGCTAGGGAAACTGTAACATCATGGATTCTTTTCAAGGAAGATATTACAAAAACTGTCACTTCCTTTTTTAAGAGGATTACCACATTACTAAATCAGCATGTTGGCATTGCAGGAAGGCAAGGCACCTTTGTGGATAAAATGAAGAGATGTGGATTAGATTATTGCAGAGAAGGTTGACACAAAGAGTGCTGAATAATGGCATGATATTAACCTTGAGAAAGTTCTCAAGAAAAGCAATACAGGGACGGAGGAGTGGATCAAGTGGTAAGACACCTGCCTAGCAAAAATAAGGCCCTGAGTTCAAACCTTAGTGCCCCCTCCCACCAAAAAAAAAAGAAAAGAAAAACAACACATTTTTCTCCCTTTGTCCAGTCTCAATATTTTTACCAATGTTTTAAGGTACTAAATGTAAGGAAGATACAAAACAGAGTATAACAGATGGTGGATTAATTACTGAAAATCGTCTCCATGGGTTGTAATGAGTCTTTTTTAAAAGATGGCATTTGACTGCAGTAAATAAAAAGTCCAGTATCTTTGTTCAGAAAAATCACTTGAAAAGGTCATATTTTAGAGTCTTGGGTTGATCTGATAATGTGACAAAAAGTGCAGACATTCATACAGCCACCAAAAAACTTAACAAAATGTGTTAATAGATAACAGTATTTCTGGAGCAGGGGTACCAGATCTGTGCTATTTAGTCCAGAATTTCTGAATTTATGTGTTCAAGCATAGATACCACATAAAAAGAGCTATCACACAAAACAAACTAGAGTTCAAAAGGAGGAGTCATCCAGGAAGAGTATGGAACAGGTTCTCTGAGGAAAAGATGTGGGAACTGGGTCTTCTTAACCTGCAAAGGAAAGATTTGCTGAGGGCTGTTTGGCAGAGGAGAGAGTAGGTTTATTCTATGTAGCTCTGGAGTTCAGATCTA